TATTCAATACAGAATTGAATCAAATTGGGATCTTGTAAATACATATTTCTGACATCACAATATTGAGTGAAGTACTGATGTTTTCATCGTGGAGGTTTTATCACACTCACAATACAAGTGTAGTTGTCGTCAACTCAAGTTCACTTCTGTGTCTTCACCACCGCATCTGTGTTTGTATGTGTGTGTGCGTAAAAGTAGCACAGCAGCCCCGATGCACACACAGCAGAAGGAGAGGCTGCTGCAGCATGATATTAAATGATCTCTCTAACAGTTAGAGATTAAAGAACCAGTAAAGTCAGAGCTTCTTAATACTATAGTCATTAATAATTTAACGCCGGGCCCATTTACTACCGCCGAAATGGATCAAGAAAGATTGATCTCAGATTTTATGAATCACTATCGGGCTATTCATGTGATGATCGATTTGAATCCGATGAATTGATTATTTTAACCCAACCCTACAAGTAAATAGGAGGGGAGAAACAGAGGTTACTGTGAAAAGCTCCAAAGAGTGAGAAATGAACACATCACCAGTCAAATAGTTTTATTATAGTAATTAATAGTATAACGAAAACGATTTTGTATTGATTCTATAAATTGTTTACTGAAAGTTTTGAACATTTTATAAATAAATAACAGTAAATAAAAGTGATTTTAATCTTGTAATGAATTCCCACAATTATCCCACTGCTTATTTTTTCTCAAAAGGAAGTCACCTGGTCTTGAAAGCCTAAATGCACCCTGGGAATTCTTTTGGATCTGACATGCTTCAGTAGCATAAAGACAGACTTGCAGTAATCAGGTTTAAAGAATCACAGATCAGAAATGTACTCTACCAAATTGTTTTGCGAAACTAATTAAAAGCTATATATTACAATAAAAATTATATTATACACAGCCTAGCCTACCAGCAAAACAACTCCTTATATTCACCAATTTTCTTATATTACTATGTAGGTTTGACTGATCTTTGCTCTTTGGAATCTAACAAAGTGTGAGAAGTGCCACCTGTTTACAAAAAAGACAAACTTACATCTGCTTGTCTTTTCCTCTCTGAAGCTCCACCTTGGATGCACCATACTTGGGTTTCAAGGGGTTAAGGATGTAGTTGTTCCACCGAAACTTCACCTCTGTCACATCACCTACATCCGCTTCAGCGTTGATAAGCACCTCATAGGTCCTTCCAGGCTTCAGTATACCCCTGGAGAGATGTCATAACATATCACACTGAAAATAAAAAATCATTGTCCTTGGATGGCTGTGACAGTGCAATCTGAGCTCCATTAATCAAACAGAGTTGGGTGATGTGTTATTCACTCATTACACACACGCAGTCAATATGTTGCTGTAATACAATGCTTCATGCAATCAATCACAGTACTTGCACCTTCATTTTGGTTACGTTACCCATTTACTACAGAGTAACAAACCAAATATTTTTTTTCCTTTGTGACAAGCCACTCCTTTTTATTGGTTCCGTCTGGTTTGCAGATCACTCTTACTGTGAAATTTGATCTGAGCGATCAAAAGGCCACAAGGCAAAAGGCAAGTTGTGGAACTGGATATGGAGGTTGCCACTTCTGGCAGGTTCAAAGTTGACATCTGAATACTTTACCATTATTCGTTTTATGTAAACTTAAGAAGCAAGCCATTGCATCAGAACCGTTTGTTAATCAGCTGCTCCCTCCCACAGATTACATGGCCAGTGCTGTGTTAGGGTTGTCAGCCCTCAGTTCTTGAGGCAAAAGGCTTCTAGTCTATAGGTGGATTTTTCAATGTCTCCTCTCCCCAAACACTGCAGAAACTAAAGTAACAGCCCCGGGGTTGTATGCCCACCAGTCAAGTTACACTTATAGTTTACAACCATGTCTGTGAAAACGTGGATGCTTCACACATATCTTCAACCCCATAGCACAGGAGATATTTATAATCAGCACAGTTTCGAGGTGGGCACCCAAGATTAGTGTCACCAATTCAGTATCTGACCAAATGTCTCCCCCTCTGTTCCTGAGATATGACATTAAATAATGGCCAAAAAAGTGTTTTTTTGCTGAACATTATGATATCACAGTGAAATAGACCTTGGACCTTTTGGTCACAATTATATATATATACATTTTTGAGTTATGGGTAGAACATATTTGTGAGGTCAAAGTGACCTTTGACCACCAAAATATAATCAGTTGTGTGAAATTTAAGGAAATTCTCTCAAGTCTTTCTTAAGATGGTCAGATTCATGAAAATGAGAGGCGCAAGGTCACAATGACCTTCACCTTTGACCACCAAAATCTAATCAGTTCATTCTTGAGTCCCAGTTTGTGCCAATTTTGAGGAAACTCCCTCAAGGCCTTCTTAAGATATTGTGTTCACAAGAATGAGATGGATGCAAGGTCACAATGACCTTGACCTTTGACCACCAAAATCTGACCACTTTATCCCACTGAGTGTTAGTGTCAAATTTAAAAAATATCCCTCAAGCTGTCCTTGAGATATTGCATTCACAAGAATGACACAGACGAGGTCACAGTGACCTTGATCTCTGACCACCAAAATCTAATCAGTTCATTGCTAAGTGCAAATGGACAATTGTGTCAAAGTTAAGAAATTCCCGTAAGGTGTTCTTGAGATGTTGCATTCACAAGAATGGGACTGACTATACAGACACATGGCCAGAGGGAAGGATGGACAACCCAAAAACATAACGCCTGCAGCTATGGCTATCACCAGCGTGGCAGCATAAAAAAGCAACATTTTGAAGCCTGGACTTTGGAATTATCACTCACCATCACCTTAGCTGACCTGCTAAATCTACATGTGCTTACAGTAATAGGGAACAGGCAAGGGTAGAGCCCATAAAACAAATGTGCTGCATACTGTTTTTCTGTTTCACCTTTTTCTTCCAGTCACAGAGTGGTTTACAGCCCATCCCAGGATCATGTTAGTTTTCCTTCACTTACTCTCCATTCCTCAACCTAATAGAGGAATTCTATTCTTCATGCAGGTGGAAAGTTCATGACCACTATTATGGGCTGAAATATGTGCCACCAGAAACTGAATTTGAATCATTCATATTTGAATTTGAATTTCTAAACTTGAATAATTGCATTGAAAAACTGAATTTGAAACACATAATTTGAAATTGTATTGTTTAATTTGAATCATTGCATTGAAAAACTGAATCTGAATAGTATAATTTGAAATTGAATTTATTTCTATATCTCTTCACATTCAGTTCTCACAATTCAAATTCAGCTCTCAAAATTCAGTTTCAATTTACTGTGACAGACATCCGGGTAGTTTAAGGATGAAGGAAGAGCAATCGAGCGCAGATACACAGGACTCCTCTTCGCCAATCAGCACCTACGTTTTTGAGCATGTAGGAAGAAGTGCTCGCCTTGATCCATAGACCATAGACTATAGGCTCGTTCGAGATGAACTGCGCCTCGCCTGAAAAGTAGACGAGAGCAGGCGGCCGCAGCGGGGGGCGGTGACAAAAAGCTGCGGTGAAGTCGGACAGTTTCCCAACAGTTTCCAGCAGCCTTCAGTCCGTACAGGAAGTCACAGACACACACATATCCTGTCTGGAATGATGTCAATTGATTAAAAAAGTGATCAGACCCATATAGGCTATCAGTTTGTTTTCAGTCTCCAGTTGTTTTAATTATGATAGATTAATTTATTAAAATGCTTTACAGGTGATCTGTAGTTTATGTTCATGGTTTATCCTCCATTTGACATGAATTCTCCTGTAAATCAGCATCATATCAGTTTGACCTGTCCCCTCAACTACACAGGCTAAATAAACTGTGTTTGAATATAAGGTTCATATTTTCAGAAGAAAAGAAATACAAGACAACAGCTTTCTTTAAGGCTCAGTCAGATACAGTCAGGGCTTCACATCTGATGTTATTTTAAGAATCCTCACATCCCACTGACCACAAGTCTCTGTGTTGCTAAATACTTAAATAATTAAACCGTCCAATATTAATATAGTACAGTAGACTCTGTATAGTTTATGATGAATGTATTCAGTCTCTGACAACTAAACTTTATCATCAGTCACACAACATGTTTTCTGTTCACAGAATAAACCTTCAGATCAGACAAATACAATCTTAATCTCTAAAATTCAACAAAAATGAGTAGTTTAAAACGTCATATTGTTGAGTGGACATCTTAACCAATCAGCTGTTAGATCAGGTGAGAGCCACGCGGTGCAGTCGGTGGAGAGTAACTGCAGCACCTGGCTCTAAAAACTGCGGCCGCCTCGCTGTTGCGGTTTTATCGCCGTCCACTTTTGTAATACGTCAGAGCAAGTCGGGATGAAGTCGGACACAAAACTAACCGGCATTCTGTGTGACTGTTGAACTGTTGGGAAACTGTCCGACTTCACCGCAGCTTTTTGTCACCGCCCCCCGCTGCGGCCGCCTGCTCTCGTCTACTTTTCAGGCGAGGCGCAGTTCATCTCGAAGGAGCCTATAGTCTATGGTCTATGGATCAAGGCGAGCGCTTCTTCCTACGTGCTCAAAAACGTAGGTGCTGATTGGCCGAAGAGGAGTCCTGTGTATCTGCGCTCGATTGCTCTTCCTTCATCCTTAAACTATGTCTGTCACAGTAAATTGAATTTTGAGAGCTGAATTTGAATTGTGATAGCTGAATGTGAAGATATATAGAAATAAATTCAATTTCAAATTATACTATTCAGATTCAGTTTTTCAATGCAATGATTCAAATTAAACAATACAATTTCAAATTATGTGATTCAAATTCAGTTTTTCAATGCAATTATTCAAGTTTAGAAATTCAAATTCAAATATAAATGATTCAAATTCAGTTTCTGGTGGCACATATTTCAGCCCATACACTACCCACATAATCAGATGTCCCTCCTGGACACAATTATTGCTAGATGTCTCAACATATCTGCAGAAGAATGCCATGAATGGATCAGTCATACAAATGAAAGGTGACAGTTGACTAGCACTGTTGTATTTATTATATTCGTAGCTGTCCTATAAAAGTATGTATAGAGAATATGCATATGCATAGAATATGCATAGTTTTATATCACAATATAATCACAATACTGGAGTTACTTTAGTTTAATTTTGTGAGTTTGGAAAAAATGTCAGGAAAAAGCCTATTGAATTTCTGTGATATATATTGAGGTAGCACAATTCATGCAATAAAGATTACACAAATGTTGTGTTCTGGTACAAGAGCTGATTCTCAGATGTGTATCAAGTGCTTTGGTTGTATGAATGCATTTTGGATGTGAGATTAACTGTTGTGCTGAGCTGCATGTTGGTAAGAGGACTGTCTGAAGAGTTTTAAGCTTCTACTTCTAGTGTGACGTCACGTGAGTTGCAGTCCTTTTTCCTATAGTCTATGGTTGCAGTGCAATATGAGTTGTGTGGTCAACCAAGTATGTAATTGCAGTGCCTCCAGTAGAGGGTGGTAGCGTGCTGTCTTTGTAGTGTGCCTTAAACTTCTAGTGATTTATTGTAGTGGGTAGTAGTGGGAGTCCTTTCAAGAGCCCTGACAGTGCGGAACCCCCTGGTTGCAATTCGCCCTCATCCCTTTTATGAACTGTGTTTTTCTACTGTACTAATAAAGATTATTGTATTGTTGTAACTGCTCTTCTCTGGGTGATTATTGGATGGCTCTGACTTGGTGACTGTAAGTTCACCACCTTGGTTGAACCCACATTTCATTACAATACTAACCAACAGGCAACTCAAAAACATAATGCAAGGCTATTGCCAGCACAGAGATACTATAAATGAGGCGTTAAAGCTAATCCAGAGGCTGAACTACAGAATGGCATCAGTGACTATCTGTAACTGACCAGATGTGTCATTTAGGCAGCAAGGAGTCACATGTTCAGATAAGAGAAGTAACAGTTGTTCAAGCTTCCAGGCCTGGTCAACAAAGAGAAGTACAATATCCTAGACTAAATAGGCAGGTCCACCTCTGCAACTCCCTAGTCAGTGATGTCACACGAACTAAAACCCCTTGGTGCATTCCACAGAACACTGTTATAATGTTCTTACGAATGAAGCTGGTGCTCCTTGGTGCTGCCACGGGCTCCAGTAAGTGTCACAAACATGACGCCTGGGTTAGGCCAGCTAGGACCATCCAGGGTTAACAACACTCTGTAGCTGTAACCTACAAATGGAAAGAAATAGTAAGCAGTCACATTATTTCACAAGCACATGTCACAAGCATCATTTTCTATATGTGGGGGGGGTCAAAGAATAAGAATATTGGGGTTAAAATGAAAACATTTAAATTCAACACCATAGTATTTGCAAAAATTAACAAATATTTTTTCTACTGATACTTTTTTTAAATTTGGTATGTACTGTGTCCTCACAGTCTAGGAAATAGCCCCAGTCTATCACTCCAAAATTGATACCAATTGGCATTTATATCATCAGTCAGCAAATAAAATGTAACTATTGCAACCTTTAACACCTTTCTAAACTCACTTGAGTACAGTGTGACAAAATGACTCATGTTTCCCCTTTGGACTTACGGAAGCTGTATACTCTCACTGTCAAGATCATTCATGTTCATTCATGTAACCTACAACTTAATATTTTGTAAGGATAATGTGGCATAGATTACTTTTACTCAGTACCGTGGCACCAGTGTTCATTTCATTGATGAAAACAATGACTAAATTTTTTTCGTCAACGACCTTTTTCCATGATGAAAATGAAACGATGATAAGCTAAAAATAGATCTTGATAACAAAAACTAAGATGAAATCTTTGTTTCATTTTTGTTGATGAGACGGGATGAGATGATAGTGGTGAACTATTGGACATGAAAGCCGAGAACAGCTGTGTCTGACATTATCTTCGAATGCCACATGAGTGACAGGTTGTGAAACTCCAGTAAATAGTCTGCGCCAGGATGTTTCACTAGCCAGCAAAAACACTCACACCAGACCAGCGTCAGCTGTGTCAGTTGTGAGCTGTAATTCAGCAGTTAATAATCAGCATGTGTCTGACTGTGGATGGTGGAGCCGCTGAATGTATTTGTGGAGTTTGTTAGTTGCAGTGGTGGCTGCTAGCAGTTAGCTCCGCTTGTTAGCTGCTGAACGGCTGCACTCAAATCCGAACTGTCACTGGAATGTTTTACGGGTTGATGCTGTTTGACAGGCAGGTAGGAGGCTCAGTTATCTGTGAGTGTAGCTGTATTGTAAGTAAACAGTCTGAGGTCACTGATCATTTTTCTCTGACAGATGAAAGTTTAGTTTAAATTACCAACTCTGTGAGACATGAGTTTAAACCTCCACACTAACTTGTTGCACAAGCTATTTTTCTGCTTCTAAACAGTGAGATGGATGAGTCAGAGTTTACAATGAACCTGGATACAAATTTTAGTTGTCTCAGATTATTTATTTATGATGTCAAAGTTTTTTAAGCATAAAAAGAGAGTTGTCGAGCTTTTCAAATGATGATCACTACATGTGTGCTTGTGAATCACCCCTTAAACCTGTTAAACACTGCTGGAGAAATGACAGTTTGTAAGTGTGCAGATATGATTTGTAGTTGTAGAAAAAAATTGTCTTAATGATTTTTTTCATACAACCTTGATTCTAATTTCTGATACATGAATAAGCCTAACTAGATTAGGTTTAAGAAAAAAAACATACAGAAAATATAATGACTAAAAGTTGACAAACCCTATGAAGAATAAAGATAACCATGCACGTGCTGAAGGGGGAGCGGAAGGGGCTGGAGCACCTGCCCCTTTTGCCCCTTGACCCCCAAGTGCCCCTTTGTCAAGTTTTTTATTATTATTTTTTTTGGTGAAGGCCTTCCTGTGGCCTTTCACAAGATTTATTATTATTAATTGTTAATAATTTATAATAAATGACCTGCAGCCAGCCAGTTCATCATATGACGTCACCTCATGACCATTGTAGTCAGTCAACAGTCGGTCCAACAGAACAATAATATAGACAGTACAACAGTACGACAGTATAACAGTTGGAAGTTGAAGAACCGGTAAGTGGGTGAAATTATGTATATGTTGTTCCATGTATTTTGCCTAACCAACTGGATTAAAAAGAGCACAACAGGTAAGAATAGCATTGCAGAGTTTCTCATAGACAACACTACATTACAGTGTGTTAGTTATTTTACATTACATTTTAGATCTATAATCGCATAAGGTTCAAGAGTTGTTAATTATGTTTAATAAAATAGAAGATCAATGCTGATTAATTGATAGATTATTGCTTGTTCCTAGATTGACAGGAAGAAAGTGATAGGTCAGATGAGGAAATGGAGATGGAGCCAACACAAAGTGCGCATGACACAGCAGGGTGGGAGACAAAGGCTGGAGTCACTGAGAAACAGTCCATAGATAATATGCAGGAAACAGAAGCTCAAGACAAGGAGACTGAAACAAGATAGAGGTCATTCTCAAATCTACTTGGACTACAGCACCCAACTGACCCTGCCTTGTCCTACAATTCAATATGAAGTATAATGAGGCCTTTATCCAGAGGTGTAATAATAACAAAAGGAGAAGAGCCAAGGAAAGAAGAGAAGAGACTATGAGGAAAAAACAAATCAGGAGAAAAAGAGAGGAGGGAAAGACAAATGTTTAATTGGGAACCAACAAAACACACACACACACACAGTGAGCCACCTGGTAGCAGTGTCAGCAGGCTTTTCATCATGCCATGGCAACATGTAACAGTAAGGTAATATCTCTCCCATGTTCTTTTTAATGTCTGTAATTCCATGTTCGAGTTTGCTGCTGCATTGGTGTTCTGGACGGGCCATTCAGGAGTATCTTCACCTCTGCAGCCTGCACTATGAGTATAGCAAACCAGAGCGTCCAGGCTGCTTCATTTGTTAGTAGGGGCTTGATTACTGTACACTAAAAACAGTTAAATATTGTGCTCCTCTGTATAGACTTTTTTCTCTCACTCCACCCTGCCATCACCATCCCCATTCTTTCCCCCTCTTCAATTTTGGACCTGGTTTGTCCAGTGTAATTGAAATGTAACTGTCCATGTCAAAATAATATCAATCTAAAAATTGTAAAGTATCTCCATGTTTACTGTATAGCAATATATCATAGCACATTGAACTGTAATAGCTGTGTCATTGCCAGATTCTTGCCAATACACAGCCCTAACACCACTGTGTTTTAATCAGGTTCTATATGCCCATTTTTTTAACTTTGAGCAACTGCCCCTTTCGAGGTCTCTGCAAGGCCCTGAAGATGACTAATATGTGACTAAAACTATGCAGAATTTTTGTCTCAAGACTAAGACTAAATCTAAAGTAGCTGTCAAAATTAATACTGCCTGGCACATCCTGTCAGTGTGTCCTGCACTCTTGTGGTCTGAAAATGCCCAATGCCTCTGATACTTAGAGGCAAAAACAAGATATCACTTAAATTTCCAAGCACTACTCTGAGTTGGAAACATTTCAGTCATTAGAGTAATGGTTTTGTTTTCATGGATGACACTGCATTTTTGAATTTGCCCAAATTTGATTGAAAAGGAGTTAATAAGCCCACTGGAGTGGAAAATAGTATCAGTCCATAGAAAACTTAGTAAGTTGTATGTTGAGCTGAAAGCATAAAAACATCAAAACTCAGTAAGTAATCATAGAAATATGTTTCAGTGTTTCTATACAGTTAAATCTAAACAGTAAGTCCTTACGGCTTATGTGTAAGTCACACTTACAAGGAAGGGCAGGGTACTTACGGCCAAAGGGCTTTGATCTGCCCGTGTTGAGGAAGTACTTCTTTGAAATGCCATCAGTCACAGTGAACTTGTCAGCATTGTGGCCCATCAGAGGACATTTGTCTGCACATGGGAAACACTTTCCCTGTGGAGTCAAGGACATGGTGAGGTGTGAAGAATGAACTCACCCTGTGATGGAGTGCATGAGTCTTTTCCTGTCAGTGAATAGTCATGGAAAAGTAACAACCCTAAAGGGTTTTTCCTCCATACTCCTTAAAAATGTTGCAGATTTCCACCTTATAAATATGAAGGTGAAGAATGGCAGTGGTTTTGCAATAGGTTACTGTGTGGGAACAGTCGGACTTTGTGGCTGTCAGCTATGGCTGCAGGAATAACACCAGAGAGCGTTTACGAGGTGAACGACAAGGAGGTGCTGTCATCTCTCAACAGGGACATAGTCATATGAGGTCATGCTCTGCGCTCCCCCGGCCTCCTTTGATCAGGACATGTGTCCAGAGCAGGGATAAACTGTCATTAACACCAACAGCTGCAGATACAAGCCCTCCACATGGATGACATCGGGGAAGCCCATTTACATCGCCCCTCAACTGCAACAAAAATCCAATCTTCCCGAATCAACTTCTAAAACCAAAGAAATGGTTCACAGCCATATCAGTGTCATACAGCAACAGGTGGCAGTCCCATACACTTGCTGGGATGGTAGGCATATGGGCCCCTTCTCTATCCGACTCATTGTTTAAATTGAGGACATAAAATGCCTCCCAGATCCCTCATCTGTGACATTATTTTTATGAGCAAATCCAGCTAACTTGACATGCAACTTTTCATGCAACTGTAACACAAACATCTGTTCTTAACCAACTGTTTGAATCTAGTGATCCCAACTAATTTTGTTTGTTAGTTTTGTAAATGTCTGTTAAGACCAGGATTTACAACAGTAAATAAATCATTTCAGTGGCATTGCTGCAATTAGTGAATTTATGTGGGGTGATGCATGTCAGTGCAGATCTTTTACATAGAGCACAACTTGTGAGCTTTGATATACTTTTGACAAATTGCAAACCATCTTGACAGTTCTGACCTTTGAAGCAGAGAGTCCAAATGGAAGCTTTCCTATATGCCCCAGTAATGAGCCCTAAAACCCTAAAATGAGTTAGCATTTTAGCACTCCTACTGCCCTTGTCTCAAAGTCTAAGTTTAAGAGACTTTCATGTTTTGTTCTACGATATAAAACACGTCAGTATATACCCCACTGTGAATTGAAGCTTTTATGTGTCTTAAAAAAGGCTGCTGCTAACAAGTAGCTAAATGAGACTACAGCATGTCATCACCCTAAACACAGCTTTACAGCCTTGCTTGTGAAGATTATCTTGCTGAACAAAATGTTTAAGTATGATAAATGTTGTTTGCCACAAAGCCTATTTTATAAAGCTCAGCGTAAGTTCAATCAGGAAGACTTTCTTTGTGCTCATCCATTCACAATTCTCTCCATCCCACTCTCACTGCTTCCTCTATTCAGCTGACTATGGGTGTTCACTCTTCCAGTAATCCAATCAAACTTTGCCTTGATCTAACTGATGCTAACTGCTGCATCAGCCTTCAGAGAAAACATCATCACTGGAGCACGTTATTTGCTTTGTTGCGCTATCCAATTTTACATAACCCTGTTCTGTTGGAGTAGGATGGGCTGCCATCAGTAATGAGACAGGAGGTGGTAGTACAAATGCTTGTCTACAGCACCATTTATTTCACAAGGAAGGACACACAATGAATTTCCCTTGGCCACCTTCTCGTCTGACCAGGCACTAAGGCTACATCTGAAGAGTCAAATATGACGATGTGCCTCTCCTCACCACTTTGCCTTGCCTTTGAAGAAACATGTCATGACGTGCAGTATGCGGGCTACATTAACTCAAACAATGTACAAGTTAAGGCTCATACATCCATTTCAAATGTCAGTGTCACTGCCCTCATACTTCCATGTGTCCTTTATTCTGACATAGATACAGCGAATAGATGGCACTAGAGAGCAGAGCCAAAAGTTTCACACAACAAATAAGGTGACAGTATTCTACCTTTAAACGGAGACAGTGCTGTAGACAGCGGTGGACTGTGTGGCCATTAACATTATACATATCCCGACATGTAGATGGAGAATTCTTTTTGCTATATTACTGATTTGTTATTTTCCGCGATTATTGAAATTTCCTCAGTGTCCTCTACAGCCATATCTGGCTTGAACTAGACTACACTGCCTCCATGATCTCCGGTGCCACTGCTCCGTTTCATCTGTATCTGCAAGCTTTCAGAAAACGTGCACAAATATGAACAACATGAACGCAGAGTACTAACAGAAGGCTCCGTCCATCTCAGTATCTAACGTTGAGCCTAAATAAGCCAAAGGTACTTTATTTATGTGTATACCCTACGCTGGATGTCCACTGGATCCGTCGTGTGCGCGATTCCGCCACGGTGTGGACTCTCTCCGTCCTGTGCTGGGCGTCAATGTCAACTGGAACTATAGCGGCGCGCAAGCAAGCGGCTGGAATTGGTGGATCGTGAGATCATAATGTCACACGATAATCTGTGGAAACCCTAGAGGTATAAAGACATCAACAACCCCCTTCAGGCCTTGGGCCACCCACTTTGACGTCATGTTGATGTAGCAAGGTGAAATACAATCCGGAGTTTTCATGGGTGTTTTATTTTGAAAATTGACTGGATACTCTCGTCATTTCTGCATCTGACTTCCTGTTTGACTCATTTGGTCTGTGCAAATCGACATGCCATCAAAAATAGACCTGGCGCATATATTTAGTGGAGCGGGGTGCTGAGCCGCTTCTAGGCCGTGGCTAGGACGCACTGCAGTGCTTCTGGTGGAGCAGCTTACATTAGCCCCTTTTCCACTGCAGGAACTTTTATCTTTTCCCCAGGATTTTGAAGAGCCTCGGTGCGTTTCCACCGAAATTACCTGGGGAAAAAAAACTTTGGCTCAAACTTGCCCTGAAAAAAGTACCTAGTCAGGTGGTAGGACTTTTCAGAATATCCAGAATTCCTGATGGGGCAGGGCTGTGTGCTGAAGAATGCTGATTAGTGAGACACACACTTGCAGCGTTCCGCACTTCCTGGCACGGGCAGCTGCTGCAAACTTTATTTAATTTCTACAAGCTTCACTTCATTTGTGTTTTGATTAAGGATGAGTAACGAAACCCGGTACTAAATTAGCCCCGGGGCTAAATAATCAAAGACCGTAGTATTGATAAGCGCTAACGGTATCTGTTCTTTTGTGCCGGCGCTGAACTCCTCCACATCCACACACACACACGCCTACACGGTAAGTGATATTAAACCTTAGCATGTAAGAAGCCAATACTTTATCAATACATGTGTTCACCAAGCATGAACATGTTAACATGTAGACAGCGATATTCAATATGCTCCGTCCACAGTCTCTCATCCACCGTCAGTAATGTTATGTTTTACACAAGAACAGCATGCTAGTTCAGCTAATAGCTTTGAGGTGTGGTGGAAAAGCAAACCCCACAGATTGCAAGGAATTCTTTTACCCAGGTAAATAAATTCCTGGTAATAAAAGTTCCTGGAAATGTTGGTGGAAAAGGGGCTATTGACTTGAATGGCCACAATTAGCTCCGGCACCCGCAGCTCGGCCAGATTGCGCACGCAAAGGATACAGATCCTGTGGACATCCGGCTTTACACTGCATTTTGGAAGGAAAGGGAATATTGTACTTTTTGCTCCACCACATTTATCAAGAAGAATTAGCCTACTAATTACTTTGCAGATAAAAAGTTACCATACAACCAACAATCTGATGTATTGTTATAAGCCTAGATTGAAATAAAGTTTGTGCAAACTCAACCAGTTGCAGTATTACAAAGTGTTGTTTCACCTATAATAATTATTTAATAATACAGGATATAGTCTATATATTTTCACCATCTAAATGGGGCCAATCTGCATAATTATGTTTGAGAGGTATATTTTGTCAGTGATAGTTCTGTTCTTAATTTTGCATGCAGGAATTTGAACTGTAATAGAGTATTTTTGCATTTGGGTACGGCTACTTTTACTTAAATACAGGATTGTAGTGGAGCTTTAACACTTAAAGTTGAACCAAAGACTTACAGCAGCAAAACTGTCCTTGTCAGAGCAGGGGAATCCTACAAAGCCTTGGGGTTTCGCCACACTCTCACTGTAGTACTCGTAGGCTCGGACATGGTTGCAGGCATCAAACTTCTTGGCACCTGGCAAAAGATGGAAACAGGTGATGACAGGGAAGAGGAGAAGAGAGGGACATGGTGTTAAAAGAACACAAGGTAAAGAGGAATAAGTGAAGAGTTGTTAATATAGATTTGAGTCTTAAATTTCTGATGGCTAAGTATGAACTCATGACACTGAGCAGGGTCATAATGAATCGCTGAGCATGAGAAAGATTTGGGTGTTTAGAAGACTGAGAAGCTGTCAACTGAGAAAGAGAATGACTTTAAAGCATATCTACATGAAATATATGTGAAACTTCCTGCTGTAATTTTGAAAATTGGCACAGAAAATAAGTTAGCACCAGTGTCTCTCTCTCTCTCTCTCTCTCTCTCTCTCTCTCTCAACTCGCTCCCAACTCCCTCCCTCCCTCCCATCTCTAGACCCAGACATGGGACCAATGCTGCGACTTGAGCCGTGCTACTCAGCGGCACAGTTCAAAAGAAGGATGTCGTTGTCCGTATTAGAAAAATTTGCTCAGATAGGTCCAACAGGAATAACTGCGCCTGGGATTTCTTTACAGTTTTTCCATTGGGACAAATCCAATATTCCACAGGGGGCTCTACATTGTAAGTTGCACAACTGAGAAAATCTTATGTATGAGTCACTGTGTTATGTATAGGGAGTGTGCCCGTGATGAAGCCTGTAGACTTGAGAACACTGGCAGTGTAGTGTAGAGCATAAAAAACAGTCACATAAATCGTTCATGAAAGTTCTAATGTTCAGTTTCTGTTAAAACTGTTTAAGAGATGTGTTGATATAACCAGCTGTGGAGGATGTAGTTTATGGAGCTGTATTGTAATCGTAATTTGAATTGAAGGCAGTTGTGTTATATTTTATCTCTACATCAGTGTGGGGGTGCTGAATAACAGAAACACATCACTACATAGTGTGTACACACACACACGCACACCAACAACAACAACAATAACAACAACTTAATTTTCTCAATTCAAATTGAGCAAATCATTTTCATTTCAAAGTCTTGAAATATAATATATAATATGTCATTGGTTTGTGCATTACACACCAACAAAAAACAGGTATCTTTTCAAGGTCATCGGGTGTCAGTGAATAAAGCCACTAAATGACACCAGTTTGAAATGCCCCCAGACAACAACATAATTTAAGGACCTGGAAAGTCCCTGTAGGTCAGATGGGATGGCTCTAACAACACCGGACTTTCACCCAGTGAGCCTGAGGTTTGCTTCCTGTATCAATGTAGAGCAAACCTTTTTTTTTAAAAAAAAAACAAAACAATCATGTACCTAACCATGTGCATTTGTTGCACAATGAAATAAACTTAAAGACACGATTCTTAAAGGGAAATTTCGGTATATTTCAACCTGTCTCCTATCGTCCTAAATTTATTTCAAGTGACTAGTGACATAAAAATAATAGTTAGCATGTTAGCCGTTAGCCTAGATACAGCCGGGGCGCATAGTAGCATCAGACCTGTTAAAAATAAGTGAAAGGGCATACTTCAAGTGCAAAGTTAGTCCACTAAACAAGCTTTTTTCCACAAAGACCGCCTCATATTGTTAGGATAAATGTCAGATAACATATAGAAAATGACATGTAAACGTGTTGTCTTACCTTACCGGTGTGGTGCCATGTTTGTTTACATTTAGCTCTGCTTTCCAAAGCGCGGCCAAAATATGGCGAGCTCTAGATAAAGCACAGCTGGATACTACAGGTGGAGGTGTCTCATCCTCGGTCACATCCAGACCTTGAAAATAAGGCTGCAACTGGTCCCATTCCTTGCAACAGAGGCATTCCTCTTCTATGGGCACTGGGGCACAGCATCCACAGGTACACCACCAATCTCCAGAGCTACACAGCCTTGCAGCAGCCATTCCTCCTCTCTCGTCCTCTACCTGTTGCACCTCTCTCTCTCTCCTCCGTTTTTCAATTTCACGAAGCTCTTCATCAGTGTATTCTGGCTCAAATAAATAAGGGCGGCCATCAAACTCTGCAAAATCAAATTCCTCCTCCACAAAGTCGAAGTCTGGCAAAAAGTCAGCCATTATTCTATAAATCTTTCGTAAAATAAATGAATGAACTTTTCAGGCTACTGTCCGGTTCTGCCTTCCAGCTGTTGCTGCATGTTCTCGCGAAATTTCAGGCACGGTATGAGATCGCTGCTTGTTCTNATTGACCTGGATAAATGAGAATATCCACAGACTTTAGTGGACTAACTTTGCACTTGAAGGTTGCCCGTTCACTTACGTTTTAACAGGTCTGACGCTACTATGCGCCCCGGCTGTATCTAGGCTAACGGCTAACATGCTAACTATTATTTTTATTTCACTAGTCACTTGAAACAAATTTAGGACGATAGGAGACAGGTTGAAATAAACCGAAATTTCCCTTTAACCAATGTTGTTTGTTTAGTTTGAAAAAGATTGTATGCATCTAATGAGCTATCTGTCACAGGGTGAGATTGTACCCAAATGCAGCAGTCAGAGGCAGGCAGACAGTTGGTAATGACTTTTATTGCTGAGAACGGGCTGCTGCGGCACAACAGGAACGGGGACTTGAGGCTGCTGCAGCCCAGCGGGAACTGGGACTTGAAGGCGCTGTGGCCCAGCAGGATTGGTGGGGGGTAGAAGCAGCTCTGAAACTTGGGGCTGTCCCAGCACAGCACAAACAGGAACATGGGAGAACCTTAGTGTCACAGGAACCGGAACTTGGGAGTACTGTAGTGTCACAGGAACTGGAACTTGGGAGTGCTGTAGCTCAGCATGGACAGGAACTTGAGTGCTGCAGCTCAGCATGCACAGGGACTCGAGAGTGCTGTAGCTTGGCATGACCAGGAACTTGAGAGCATTGCACTGACACAGGAACAGGGACTTGAGAGTGCTGCAGCTCTGCATGAACAGGGACTTAAGAGTGCTGTAGTTACACAGGAACAGGGACTTGAGAGCACTGCAACCCAGCACAGACAGGAACTTGAGAGCACTGCAGCCCGGCACAGACAGGGTCTTGAAAGTGCTGTAGCTCAGAAGGGGTGGTTGTCTGGTGGGCTGCCAACTGGACTCTGGGTGCAGGAGTGACGTCTGCCAGGACCCCCGACGCTAGATCAGGAGTGACGTCAGCTGGGACCACCAATGCCAGAGCATGAGTGACGTCATCCGGGACCCGTGACGCCTGAACAGGAGTGACGTCTGCCAGGATCCCCAGCGCCAGAACAGGAGTGTTGCTGCCGGGACCCCCGACACCGGAACAGGAGTAGCGCCTGCCGAGACCCCCGATGCCGGAACAGTAATGACATCAGCCAGGACAACAGATTGAGGGACTTGCAGGATGCTGGGTAACTGGGACTAAGGCTTGGCCTGGTTGCTGGCAGGACGGGCTCGGGATCTTCCCACGTCTGGTAGTCTGGTTGAGGCTCCGTGGACCTCCCAGGGCCAATCGGGTTCCAAAGAACGGTGCTAACAACCCCCAGCCTAACTGACCCATGTGCAGGCTGAGAATCAGGGGTGTTCACAAAATCCTTAATCCAACTGGGTAGCAAATTCTTAAGCCCAGGCCTCCTGCTGATGATAAGGCTGCCTCTCTGTCAAAGACCTCATGTAGGTCTGTGGCTGGGTCCATGAATGATTGGATCCCTCTGTGGTGGCTCCATGATGAGGGAGAGTGTGCTGGGTACATTTCTGGCCAGACTGTACTGTCACGGGGTGAGATTGTACCCAAATGCAGCACTCAGAGGCAGGCAGACAGTTGGTAATGCCTTTTATTGCTGGGAACTGAACAAGGGATGCAGGACTGGTGTTGCACCATGCAGCCACAGAGCCGAGCAGACGGGAACCAGGAAGGGGGCAGGCAGGAATCAGAGTCACAGACAGAAAGCTGAGGTAATTACCAGGGCAGAGATGATGGAAGCAGGTCAGGAACAAGCAGGGTCAGAACCGGGGAATCAACCCAAAAGTGAATGCTGGAATGGTCTCGCATGAAGTCAAAGAACAATCTGGCAGTGAGTGTGTGGAGAGCAGGAGTCTTTACACTGAGCCAGTCAGTGATTGAAAGCAGGTGAGTGGAGTTGGGCTGATGAGGTGACAGTCTGAGTTGAGCAGGTGAGCAGAGTTGCCTTGATGAGATGGGTGTGGCTGGCAGTCAGAGGGGAGGTGAGTGGAAATTTACCAGGAGCAGGTGAGGGAGAGAAGCAGACTGTGACACTAACTGTACATTTCCTGTGAAAACGGAAGTGTATTTTGATTTAAAAAAAACGAACAAACAATGCATGTATTAGGCGTAAATTGACACTGCAGCCCAGTATGTCAACAACCAATCCAGTCTCACTCAAAGTCGTTGAAACCTGGCGCTTGGTCAGTGACTTCAGATACCGCGAAAAAAGCTGTCCCTGATATGTGGCCAGTTGCCATGACAACAACAAATGTCAAGGCGGCAGAAGTGCAAGGAGGGTGGGGGGGAGGGGTGGTGCATGGGTCCAACAAACACTGACTTTGACCCGGGAAGCTGATGTTTACTTCCTGTAAGACCGTAAAGCCAAGCCCTGTTCTTTTTTTCCTAAACCCAATCATGTGCTTTTGTTGCTTAAACCTAAGCACGTGCATGTGTGTGTCTAAATGTGTTTGCTGTTGAAGGAAATAAACTTCAATTCGCAGTGTAATACCAGTGTAGTACATATATTTTGAAAGAGACTTCAAACTGTACATTTCCTGCAAACTGTACATGAAAACGGAAGTGTATTTTGAAAACAGACAATGCATGTAACCTGCTGAAGTTGACAAGGCGTCCCAGAACATCATCAACCACGCACCCAGGGTACCTTGCACATAATATCTCGATGTGGTAAGGAAAGGTCGGAGTGACAACATGCTGCAACAACAGATGCACCCAGGATAACTAGTGCATAATATGTAGACTTAAAAGTCCGCTGACCAAATGACGATATGTGATGAGTTGGGAGTAAGAATGTGTTGAATTGAGGAACCAATTCTTTGTTTAACTATTGTTTGTATGAGGAATAGTTCATTCAGTATATGGCATATGAGGCTGCATTTGGTGACCTGGCCCTTATTCAATATTGACCTTCATTGTGGTAAGTACAAGCAGAGGGGTCTTTGGAGAGTTTTGACTTTAGACAATCCATGCTTGGAAGTCAGCTAATCGATACTTTCATTTAAGTATTCATTTCAACTAAAAAATATTTATCTCAGTGGATTCTTCAAAAAGCAGTTACAGTTAGAACAGTCTTTTAGTTTAGATCTAGACCACATGGACATGATAAATAGTAAAAATATAGCTGCAAGCGGCAATTCCAGGGTTCAAGCCTGTATGGACATTTAAAACTTGAAAGCTGGGTAAGATCAAGACCTTTGACAGTTTATAACACCTGTGTTAAAGATAAACAACAGGTTTTAGGACAAACAGACAGATGCTCTTTCATTCCTGACCATTCTCTACCGGGCTACGCTCTTCTTTGGAAACTCTGTTGCTTCCTATTAGTCAACTGCAAACACATTTTGCGGACATGTTTTGTCACTTTTTTAATGAATTGACATCATTCCAGACAGGATGTTAGTGTGTCTGTGACTTCCTGTACGGACTGAAGGCTGCTGGAAACTGTAGGGAAACTGTCCGACTTCACCGCAGCTTTTCGTCACCGCCCCCTGCTGCGGCCGCCTGCTCTCGTCTACTTTTCAGGCGAGGCGCAGTTCATCTCGAACGAGCCTATTGCTTGCAAGGTTTGTGATGATTGGCCCAAACGTTGTGCAGTCATTTGCTGAGCCACGCCCCTTTTAAAGTTCATTGGTCAATATCTTTAAAGTACAATAAGTTATCAAGAACAGTTATAGCGTTGGTGATAAAATTCTGAAAAATATGGCACATCATTCTGCTGATTTCAAGTATATTGTCAAATATTTTGGTGACATTTGGTTAAAAATTAGATGACATAGAAAATGTGCATACAGTACAAATTACAACAAGATAATGAATATCACTGTGAGCTAACCAATAAACTGATCTAAACACGATTTGAAACATGTGACATCTAGTATCCAAAGAAAGTCTCTGAGAGATATTAATTAATTTAACATATTCTTAAAAATATAGAGTGACGGACTTCTGTATTGAGTATATGTTGCAATGTGGCAAAGTTTTGTCACAATTCAGTGGATGTGCTGAAAAAAACATTCAGCTCTGTTATTATGATTTTTTGAAGTATGGAATGTGAAAAGTCTTGAAATTTAGATTTAATGTAATAAGCCATGCCCCCTTTAAGCAGTCATTTTCAAATGTTGTGCATTGACTGAGACATGACCTTAAATTAAAGTTTTGTACAAATATCTCTGGCTGATTATGAGTATCAACTTTTTGCATGGGTAGCGCCCCCTATAGGTTGATTTAAATCAAACTTTCAGGGTGTGATTCAATTACTTATGTTGACATTTTCTACAAGTTTTGTGACAATTGGCTCAACAGTTAAAAAGTAAAATCCATTTGTGTGCTGAGCCATGCCCCCTCTAAAGTTCATTGGTCAGTGTCATCAAAACGCAATGACGTATCAAAAAATCTTTGACAATTTAAATCCCATGATGATCCACAGAACGTTTGTTACAAATTGTCTTATGCCTTAGGAGGAGATGTCAAAAAGGTGTTTTTCAAAAAATTCAATATGGCGGACAATCTAGTGGGCGGACCTTGAGGGTTCTTCAGGCTTTCGTAGAACCCCTTCACCTGACCATTTGTGTTGGGTTTCAAGTCAATATGACATACGGTGCGAGGGTAACAGCCTTTCAAAACCAAATTTTCCTTGACCTTAATTATAGAGCCCCCTATTGGCATTATATATCTTGAGCAGCATTTGCACACAACTTCGTACCATCTCACAGGAATTTGTGAAAACATTTCATAATAATAATGATAATAATGAAAACAATTATATAATAATAATAAATAAATCAGGAGAAACCAAAAGGATTTCAGCCCTTCAGGCTTAAACCACTAATAACTGTCGGAATTCTGGCAATAGCCTATGCAAGTTTTATTGAACCAGCACTAACTAGGTGTGAGGGAAAATTCGATAAGGCATAGCATCACAATGTTTTGCATGGCAATATTGTATCAATACATGTTCACTAAGTATCGATTGTTTTATCATATGAGTTATTACTACTGTAAAGCCCTCTAGTCCTCTAGTATAATAAAATCAATTGCATTATGCATTATTATTAATTGCATTTATCGCAGTATACATTATCCCAATACTCAACATATCGCAAAATGTTTAAAATCACAATAATTTTGTATTGTGACTTATGTATAGTGAAAATATTGTATCGTTGGGCCTCTCGTCTCACCACTGATAACAACTAGACACAACAATGGAACGGGTGGCAGAAAAAAATGTGACTATACTAAAATCATTATAATGATCAGTGTGTTTCCATTTGGTCTGATCAAATTTGTCAGTGTGTCAATTTATCGCACCCTCCCAGAAAGCATCCAGGTCAGAGGGGCGGCCTTTGTTGGCGGAGCAGCCGGGCATCAGTTCTCCTCCATTCGGATAGAAGTCACTATGGCCCACAGGTTGTGACATCCCCAGACCTGAGAGGATGATAAAGAGTTTTTTTTTTAGATTTCACTAAAAATTGCTAAAGATGATAAAGCCTTGGTTCTCTTATTTTCAGCTCCATTATACAAGTTTAAAAAATAGCATTCAGATGGTAAATTGAAATTTATGAATATTTTTTGTTTTGAAAAGCCCTAAATATTGTTTTTGTTGTTTTTAATTTTTTCTATAAGCATTGTCATATTCTAAAACTACCGCAACCACACCAGACTAGACTTTTAGAAAGTAGAAGCAGAAGAGGTGAAGACATTGAGCAAATTCTGCCCACTTTGACCTCATTCATTGTGATCAACAGAGATATGTACCAAGTTTGGAGTTGAAAGGAAGAGCATCTGTGTGAATGACGTCCACAAAGGCGGCGTCGCTGGTGTCCAGGTGTACAGAGGTATCAGTGTCCTGGAAGTAAGGTTCAATTGGGTCTAGTCCTGAGCAGAGAAAGAAAGGTATTGTATCAAAGACAGATTAATGGTCGGGCCTGTATTCTTTCTGATCCTATTATCAAACAACATGAGAATTTAACAACATGCACAGGGACAGATGGGATTGTTGAAAATCAGCTGTCTAAGCAACCTATATCACAAAATGGACTACAACAAAGTACACCCTTTGGACAAAATTAAGATGCTGTAGATTGCCCTGGTTACCAAAATGAGATTGTGGTATGAGACAGGAATGCCTTTTTGCCCCTTAAAGGTCTAGTGTGTCAGACTTACAGTAGGGGGATTTAGAGGCATTAAGCGGTGAGGATTGCACATTGTTACTAGCTGAAACTTCTCCCAATTAGAATTCCTTCAGTGTTCATTGGTCAGGAGCTTTATTAGGAGCTGAATTATCCACAGAGATCTCCTCCTCTCCAAAACAAATGGTCTGGTGATTAAAATGGTGAAAACACTGAATAGAGCAGTTACACTTTTAAAAATCTGTGTTTTTCTGATGCTGCTTGTCACAGACAGGCTTCTACCGTCTGTCCTGCATCTCTCTCTGTCTCTGTCTCTCTATCTCTCTGTCTCATTGTGTCACATGGATTACTGTTAATTTATTATGTTGATCTGTTCTGTACGACATCTATTGCACGTCTGTCCGTCCTGGACGAGGGATCCCTCCTCAGTTGCTCTTCCTGAGGTTTCTACCGTTTTTTTTCCCCCCATCAAAGGGTTTTTTTGGGGGAGTTTTTCCTTATCCACTGTGAGGGTCCTAAGGACAGAGGGATGTCGTATGCTGTAAAGCCCTGTGAGGCAAATTGTGATATGTGATATTGGGCTTTATAAATAAAATTGATTGATTGAATTTATTGATTCTAACTACAGTGGCAAGCATGAAAATATGAATGGCCCTATCTAGAGTGAGTGTTTGGTTTGTTCATTCTGGGCTACTCTAGACCATTGGCAGTCCAACATGGTGATCTCCATAAACAAGGACCTGCTCCCTGTATACCCATGTAGGTATAAACGTCTCATTCTAAGGTACAGAAAACATAAAAAATACTTATTTTCACATGATTATACACTAAAGAAAACATACTTACTTTACCTGTACATACCTTAAAGAAAAAACTATGCAAAATGAGCCAAAGCCTTCTAAACACAAGCTAATATAATAAACTGATGCAATTTACATGTACATGTTGCTTTCAGCTCATTCATTCTGTGTCCCTGGAGGTATTATAAACATTTGAAGTAATTACATTTGTTGGTTGTGTAGTATGAAATTATTAATTGTTTTTTAAACATGTCACTCTCTTGGGATTACTTAACACAATCATTTTTTCATATACAGAAAAAAACTCTCTTATGTGTCAACACTGATCTGCCAAAGTCATACTGAGAGTATGTATCTAAATAAATGAAACAATAGACAAGGTATTTGCAGAGTGAATAAATTTCTTTCTTTGGTTTTATACTGTGGCCCACAGTGGCAACAGTGGCTATCTTTTGAATTAAAGAATGAAGAAAGGCAGACAAGTGACACGGAAGTAAAAGTAAATACATCAAAATAAAAGCCAAGAGAATTTTATGTGGATGTATAAAGACAATCGAATGGCCATTAAAATGCAACATTATGCAAACAAAGGATCTATACAACATTAGAAGATATTTATGCTAAATAAATACACCTATTCTGTCATGTCATCTAAGGCCTAAGACCTAAAGATTAGTTGCATAAATGACAGCATTTTTCAGTAGTCTACAGTACCTAGCACTGTCAGATTAACTACACTACTAACACTAACATGTAAGAGTGCTTAGATGACGTGACAGAATAAGCTAATATACACTTACATCATCCAGTACTTGTTGCCATTGCAACAGTAAATATTTAAGTAGTGGGGTTAATTTATTATATTTTATTATTTATTTATTCATTATTTACTGAGACACAAAAGTGTGTGAGTGTGTGTGTGCGAGAGAGTATGTGTGAGACAAAGGCCACCTGGCCTTTAAAAGAAAATATATGAAAGCCAAATTACAGTGAATGTGTGTTATCTATGTTTTATAATGGCACCAGGTTAGTAAAGGAGATGTTCAGTTGAATGCAAGAACCCGGCTCTGTGTGAAACATTAGCTAACTTATAGCCATCTACCCAATAACCTGATTCCAAAGAGATCACATCAATTAAAGTCACTGAAATCAATATAACATACATTAATAAAGGTTAAATGCTTTGCCTGTACTGTTACTGTACTAAGGTTAATTAGGTCCAGTTGTTACCATTCCATGAATGGAGGGGCAAAGAGATGCTGTAGTGTGTTACTTTTGGCAGCCTGTGGTTGTCTGTTGTGGATGAGCCTGGCTTATTAGAAATTTGGTTCCAGTCTAGTCTTCCCTGTGCTGTAATCCAATGGTGCAGGTAAGAGGAGACTGTTCACTCTTTCTCATTACAGTTAGCAGTTCGGTCCTAACTCAGCTTTGTTGCTCTTTGGTGCTTGTGAAGTTAGCTTGCAGACTTAGGGCCCTATTATATGGTCTAAAGCGGACGGCGGAGGGCACATAATCCATGTCACAAGTGTCATTGCTATTTAGATGCAGGCGCAGTTGTCATTTTCACGCCCTGCGCCCTCTTCGTCTAACTAGCAAATGAACTTGCGATTCTCTGGGTGTGTTGGTCTAAAAATGAGGAGTGGTCAGGCGCAGTCATGGCGCATTGCTAGTTAGATGACATAAAAAGCAAATGTGCCAGTGACCAACAAAAACCTGGTCTAAAGTCAACAGCGCAGTATTTCGCTGTTAAAAAAGTTAGTAATACATGTCTCTAGGCGGGTGCACAACGCGCGTGCACTCTGCTCAGACACACACGGAGCAGCCACACATATGCAAAAGATAACAAATAAAAATATGATTACAATGTGGAAGGTTATTATTGTGCACATTAAAATATTTATCAGAAACATGTCTTAATGGTCAGTCATTAATCAGAATGATCTAATCGCAGTAATAATGATCATCGTAATCCGGGAGGTCCAAGCTCGCAGTGTCAGAATATACAGAACTGCGAGCAGACCTCCACGGGCTGATGATGCATAGCCTGTAAAATGAACATGTCTTTCCCAATTGAATTGTGATCATTTTGGCATGTAAATCACAAAATCAAAGATGTGAAAACGTTTGATAAACTTTATTTTGACATAAACACAACAATAACCATCTTCTGTGAACTAAAAACGTAAACTTATAGCCCTACAAGTACAAATGTATATTTTAAAAAAAAAACGCTTTTAGAACGTAAAACTGAAGATCATCTTGTCAGGAGGAGGAGGAAGAGGAGGAGGAGGAGGAGGAGGATGACCCCAGCTCCGCAGCCAGCGCGCAGCCAGACCAGACGGGCCCAGGTGCAGCCACGGGACCAGCCCTTCCTGGACCTTCAGGTGGGGGCGTTCAGGATGCTGGAGAGGGAGCTGGGCTCTCTAACCTCCCGGGTTAAAATAAAATAAATTGAATAATTTACAATTTGTTGACAGCGTTTCTCTCGTGCGCGCGCGCTCTCTCTTTCTCTCTCGCAGTCTCACTCTGTTTCTTTTCTTTTGGCTTTTCTGAGATGGCAGATGCTGAATATATACTCCCTATCTGATGCTGTGGCTGTTTGTGACTGGCTGAGAGGGATGTGAACTTATTAGTTTGCACCTGTGTTAATCAAATCAGGTTGGGTTTCCATTACGCGTGCCAAACGTGCCAAACGTGCCAAACGTGCCAAACGGTGCCAATCCCCTTTGATCTGACATCAGATGTGACGGGACAGTCGATATAGAGATACATTTATCGTCTCCTCAGCTGTAAAATGCTCACTCTTTCCAGTTGGTAGGTCCACCATCTAACTAGCTCTCCGCTGTGCGCTCCAATTGCGCCTCTTTTAAAGGGAATGAGAGGTGACACTCTGATTGGCTTATTGAATGATACGCCCAAAACACACCCATGATTAATTCACAGAGTAAGTCCAACCCTTTTAGACTCTCCGCCATGGCGCACAGTCTGAAAACGCGCTGTCTAACTAGCAAGTGACTGGGACACGCCCATGCACTGCACGCCTGGCACTTTGCGTTTTAGACCATCTAAATAGGGCCCCTTGTGTCTGCTGCAGGTGCTTACTGGCCTAGTACCTTCTACCATTTAGAAGGGTTCTGTGTTTACTTGAAGCAGGCAACATTCAGAGAGCCATTCGGCAGACAGGGATTCTTTTCTGCTGTGAGCATGCAGAAATGTGAGAAAAAGCAGATGAGGGGCAGGCAGATCCTTCAGCACCAACAACTCTCCCCAGGACAAAGAGAGCAAACCCAATGGGAGCTGTGTTTTTGTTAAGGAAGGTTTTCACACATAGGTGTGAAAAATAGGGGAATGTGGGAATCTGAGTTCCTTCATGCTGTCTTTTGTCTGAAGAACAAAAAGGTCTCAGCTGTCAGTTGTGAGTGGGCTAAACAGGAAATGTCAGTTTACACAACTGAACAAATCATCTGTGGAGTCCAGTGATCCTAACACTGGTAATCAATGTCAATAAATACAGTTTAATAATATTATGCATTAGTTTTAATACACCTTCACAAAATGTAATAATAATGAAAAATATTATTTTTTTAAAACTCAATTACCAAAATATTTTCACACGTGATCACAAAAACACACTATATTTTGAGAAAAAACATATATCATTGTCAAATAGACCAGAGTCCAAAAGAATGTAGAATAGCAGACCATTGTCTCTAAACAGTGAGTGACTTCAGCTAACACACCATTATAAAGTATGACTACTGTGGCAAGTTTACCTGTGATGCGTGCAAGGCCAGTGGTCCTGCTACCAGCGTCTCCTGCTATGTGAGCTCCAAGGCTGTGTCCGATTATATGGAACTTATTAGCCTTTTGCTTGTAGGTGTCCTGTGTCATGGAACATGTTTGTTAAATGCAAAGATAATTATGATGATGAGGATGATAATGATGGCTACCAAACTATCATACAGTATGTCCTTCAACCACAGTCTGTATGTGAGAATGTCCCCTCAGTTTTGCCTGAGCCCTTTCCACTCTTTCTGTTGTGTCATTTTGAGTTTATTCTTTGGCCTCTGTTATTAAACTGATACTGAGCTATTTAAAGTAATATGAAAAGTTTCACATACAATGAAACATACACTCTGTGTATGAGGATGTACTGTATATCCTGTGCTCGTAGTGACAGTTAACGGGGTGCCATGTTTACCATGAGGAATTTGATCATGAATGCCACCTGGGCAGCCACCACCCTGGCATTATTGGCAGCCTGGGCATACTGAGTCTTCACACCTTTCTTCCACTCCACAGCAATGCAGTTCACATTCTCCTTCTTCACCACAACCTAGAAACAGCAACAAATACACAGTTTTAATATAATCTATGGTTAAAGTTAACCCAACATCCAAAAGCTGATTTTCATACTTACCCCTACTAGGTAAATGAGCAAAGATTTATTTATTTATTGATATTTATTAATTAATACTGAATCAGCTGTCAGGAGGCTTTATTAACAGCTATAGGAACTTTTAATGGAGTTTGTTGCTGCACACACATAATGTTATATATACATATATAATGATAAAGATACAGATAAAGTTATCACATAATATTATATATGATGATAAAGATACAGATACAGTTCTCAGTAGCAGAGCAGCAGTGTTTTCTCTCTGTCTAACAATCACCTGCACATGAACAACAACCTGCATTCTGTATTTATAATATGTACTGTGTCCTGCTCAGTCACAGAATGTGTTTACATGATTAAGGCCTTTCATTATTAGGGTTCTAACCCCGAAGGGGTAGAACCCTTCTAAGATTGTACCGGTTTATTATTATTATTATTAGTATTATTATTATTATTATTATTATTTTTTGTTGTCTGCCGCTTGAGCTCAAATTCCTGTGAGCTGGAATAAGCCAGAAACCTGAAACTTGGCCCAATGATTGGAAATGATGTGCGTCAACTTTTATTAAAATATGAGCCCA